GTGAAATATGTTGAAAAAAAAGGCCCACAGCTTCCATTAACGGTAGTACTTGTTGCTGTATTTTAGCATCTTAAATGATAAAAGCCAGAACTCTCTTTCAATAATAAATATAACCCAGCAAACAAACACCAAATACTCACATATCAATATAATATATATATATATACACACGAGTGATGGGTATATACATATAAGCAATGGAATCTGGAATTTTCGTTGCTCTCAAATTTTTATTTTCTTATTTGCACATAAAAACATATTCATTCACATGTTGACATGATCCAACATTGTTTTTATGTGTCTGCCTATACCGTCTTTAGATTTCTCTTGGCCGCATTTGTGATAATCCAATATTCACATGCTTCACCACAAACCAAATATATATATATATATATATGTATATTATATGTAAAACCACGTAGATCTCCCTCTCTGTTGTGCTAGCTAGCTAGGCAATATATACAGGTACATACATATATATATGTATATATGAAATCCAAAAAATCTTAGATAAGAAATATTAAGAAATTGAATAAACAATTAAGAGGAAACTTAGACGCATAATTAATTAAATTAAGATAGTAATTAACAAAAAGGGATTTAAGAGAGAAGAGGAAGAAGACTTGTTTAATTTATTAATCTTGGTCCTGATCATCATCATCACGTCCGACTTCAATCCAATTCTCGATTGCTTGCTCCACTGCTTGTTCAACGACTTGTGCATCTATTATTTCATCTCTTCTACTATCCTGCAATATATATATGTATATATATATATATATATCATCAAACTCTGTTAATTCAGAAAATAATCTATAATATGTATATATAACGGTGCGTGGAAAAAGATTTGAACTAGGACCCAGGTAAAAAATTTAGCCTACGATACAGTAGATTAAATAACTGAATACTGCTATATATCATTCGTCTTTTTTTGTTCTTTTTAATAAACGCGCTTTGTATAAATATAAAAGAAAAGAAGAGAACAAGAATGCCTGTCAATATATGTGTAAATATGTATTATATATATGTATATGAATGAATATATCTGCGTAGGAGCTCTTACCGCAACAGCTTCTAAAAGAAAGCAGTTCGAACAGGAAACCCTAGCTTGGAGGACATCAAGGCCAAGCTCTTCAAAGGCCTCCAATACAAATACAAGTAAACCGCGGCAGCTTCTCTCAGTGAACACCTTAATAACAAAACCCTTATCTAAGGCTTCCACTCCCACCTGCACATGCCCATATACACACACAAACACATATATAATTATATAAAGTGATAGAAAACTGATCATAATTAACACATTCCAAATGGGTTTAGTTAGATGCACAGGAAAGAAAAACAGATTTCGACATATTTATGTATATACCATCGGGGGATCATGATTTTCGGAGGTGGGGTTTTGCGCTGCAGTCATGTCTGCCACGTCTTGATTCATTTTTGAAACCTTCTGCTTCAGCTCTCCTATGTACTTGGATGCATCTAATATAACTGAGGTTTTGCTGTGCTGCATATGTATATACATATATATGTATGTATACATATGGAACAGAAGAAGAGTAGCATAAATTGAAGGAAGTATGCCAATGATTATAACCTCCATTCATGGAATTCACTTGGGTTTTCATTTTTCAAGACCTTGTGAAATAAAAGAAAAGGCTAGACATAGGAAACGCATAAAACATATATATACTAATCATAGATATATAGATAAACAGTATTCCGTATGTCCGTGTAGTAATGATCCAAAGATTTGAGAGAGAGAAACGGAAGGGATTTTAGCAAGATATAAATCATGATTATAGAAGAACCGGTGAATTTCAAGTTTTTAAGGTAAAGAAAAATAGCTAAATATTAATTATAATATCCAAGCTGACTTGAGTATGATCAGAAAAGGAGAAAGATTAATTAATATGTTAAGAAACCGAAGATCACGGATCTAAATTTTAATTTATGGAAACAGATGGATACATATGTGTGTGCGTAAATAATTCAGAACACC